TCTCCCCCCCTCCCCATGCACAGCCAAGAGTAGCTTTGGGGTGAATTTCTCGATCCCCCCAAGCCTCAGAATCTCGTTTCTCCCTCCTGGGGAGGATCTAAGTGGTGGGACCTCCACCTTGCCTGCCTCCACTATATTCCCAGGGAGCAACTAGCCGCCGGACTTACCAGTACAGGCAACACATGCGCAATGGCAGTCGGTCGGATGCCAAGAGTGTGGCCCCTGGGATGAAATCACGGAGGTGGAGGCGGCTTTGGAGGCTACGCAGGGCAACCTCTACCCGGAGTTGCACCTGCTCTGCAGAGCGAGCTCTGCAAGCGGCATCCGGGAGAAGCCAGCTGGAGATCGTGGGCCTCCCTGGCTCTTGGTGCAAAAAGGCGACTGGCAGAAAGTGACCCGGGAGTGGTTTCCGTCGGAGTCCCGACTCTCTGTCTCTCTCGGTTTCCGTCTCTGACTTCACATAGACACTCAGAGCGACAGAAGGAGGGAGGGGAGAGAAAGACCCACACCATCAAAGCTTAAAAACAGACCCGGAGAAAGTGAAAGGGTTCCCAGGAAAGAAAAGTGACTTTCCCTTCTGAGAGCTGAAGCCACAGGGGGCCCCTTCTCTTCCCCGGAGACCCAACGAAGGTCCACGGGAACCCAAGAAACTCTGAGCGAATCTCCTTTCTGGCTGCCCCCCAGCAAAGGGAGCAAAGCCAAAGGAGCCCCCCACCCCCCCACACAGAGTCCTACTTGGCTTTGGGTAGTTTTTCACAGGAAAGAAGCAAAGTATGTATGGAATTCTTAACAACTGCAATTAAGGATCGTGAGAAAAGTGGGGAGGGGAAAATGACAGCCATTCCTCTAGAAGACGGAGATAAGCCTTTAAAACATCCTCATCGCCAGAGGCGTCTCAGGCGTCCAACTTCCCAAGAGGTCAGGGAAACAAGGTCATACAGATAATCCCCTGGAAAGCAAGAATGGATGTTGCACTGGAAGGCTAGAGACACGTGTCACGGGGGTCGTGGGAAAACCAAGGGAGCTGTGGCTGGAGGAGACCTCTAGATTTGGGGCCTCATCGGCTAGCAGCCTGGGCTTTCCACATCTCAGCAGTCCTTGCCTTCCCCGGACATTGCTTCGTTGAGGGTCCACCTGCTTCCTCTTTGGGACACCCCCACCCCCAGTTGAACACGGAAAGATCCCCCCAGTTTCGCTGCACACACAAAAGCTTTCTCAGCAGGGGAAAAGTCACAAGAGATTCTGCCCGGAGACAGATGACTCAATAGAAGGGAGGCCTCCCATTGGCGTAAGCCCCCCCCTGCCCAATTCCAATTGTCCCCCCTCCATGGGCTCCGCCTGTTGCTCTGGTAGAGACGTCGGTTTGGGAGCCCTGGAAGCGAAGGGGGGAAGGAGTAACGGTAAGGGTGGGGGAGTGTGAGGGACCACTGATGGTGGGGGCGGGTGGAGAGAAGTGGACTGGGACCACCGTCCAGGTGAGACGTGAGCGAGTACTCCTCCCCTTTCCTCTTGGCCACGCCACTCCTAGTGCGATTCCCTCAGACGGAGAAGCGGGAAAAGTGGATCCGAGAGGAGTGGGAGGAGCCTATTCTGGCGGGAAGATCGGAGAGACAGACGCCTCTCTGAGGGAAGCGCCACCATCGGAGGGAGGGGGCGTCTTCGGGGTCGTCAGGGACGGATTGGACTCTTCCTTTCTCTGGGTCAGTCACTGAATTGCGCCTCCTTCTGGTCCCCTCTTCTCCCTCAGGGGCTCTCTTCGCCTCCCCGGTGTCCCCCTCAGGAGCCCCTTTCCAGCTTCTCTGATGGGTTCCCCTCAAGGGACCCTTTCAAGTCACCCCTCACTGAGACGAATGACCTGGAAGATTCCCAGATCCCCACACTGGATCCCCTTCAAGCCCTCGGCCTTCACTCGCCCCCCAAAGACCCTTCAGAATAATGGCGGTATTCCTTTCAGGGCTTCATTTTCAAAGAGGAAAGAGTTGAATCACTGTCTGGACAATAAGGAATATATTGGACTTATTCTATTAACACATTTTTAATGATATATTGGCTCACGGCCTGCTGGATGTGCTGGTCAGCTACTGTCCCAGCCATATGGAATACAAGTGTGCTCAGTAGTGCACATCACATGCCTCTCCCCACAACTCTGCCTGCTGCTGGTGCTGACACTGCCATGCCTTTTTCTTCGAGGGCCAGCTTCAGAGTCTCTGCTGCCGGACACCTATCCCCCTGTGCAAACACGCACCTGAAAAACCAATAAGTGCAGCCGCCATGGAAATGGTAAGGGGCCATTCCGCATGTTTTGGCCCTGCCCATCCCATCCTGGCAGATGTTTTTGTGGGAAGGGGACTCTCGGCACACATGCGGACAGCCCCAGCAGGCACGCGTGTGCACAGGAAGCGGCAGGCACATGTGTGCACAGACTCGGACTACCCCATCCTGGCATCTGCCCAACTCCTCCCCTGGAATGGCATGGGCCAGGCCTGTGTGTGTGTGCGCTCGCCATATCCTACGCACATGCATGCCCGCTGGGACGTGATGGGCCGGCAAAAGCAATGCAGCCCAGCGCATTTGGAGGACAGCCCCATGGGCCGGGTCTGACCATATCGCCGGCCTTATCCAGCCAATGGGCCTTGAGTTTGACCTCCCTGCTTTAGATGGTTTCATATCACAGTGGAACCTTTTACACAAATTAAGGGCACTCCTGTGCTGCATGTAGCCCTCGATCTCCCGTGCTATATGTAGCCCTGATGTGGGTCATATTAATAAGGGAAATAAGTTTCTTTAAAATTTTATTTATACATTTTTCTTTAACACACATAAGTGCTTAGTAAACAGTGTATTGTCTAGGTCAATTTATTTGTACATAATAATAAAAGATTCACTTATACCTAGTAATAAACTTCCAACTTCTAATTTCTACCTCTATTGTCTAACCATTGGTAAAACAAATCCCATGTTAAAAACTATTGTGTGTCTTCTTTATCCTTTATCTTTAATGTTAACCTATCCATTTCTGCACAATCTAGTATTTTTATAATTATATTTTCATTTGTAGGAGTTTCCTCATTCTTCCAGTGTTGTGCAAATACAATTCTTACTGCTATAAAGATGTGTAGTATCAAATATATGTTCCCTTTGTCATATATTTCTGGCATTATATCTGACAAATATATTTCTGGCTTTAAATCTATACGTTGCTTTAATATTTTTTTCTCCAACATGTGTGTATTTTCATCCAATTTTTTTTTGCCTTTGGGCATGTCCACCACATATGGTAATAAAGAGCCCAGTATCTGATTACGTTTCCAACATTTGGCAGCAGGGGTGGGATTCAAAAATCCCAGCAACTGGTTCGCTGCCCAGATGCTTGGTGGGAGTGGCCATGATGAGTGTGGCCTACGGAAACGTCCGGGAGGGCCGTTTTTCACCTTCTCAAGGGTCCAGGGTCTTCCCTCAGGTATCTGGGAGGGCAAAAATGATCTTCCCCCAGACTCTGGAGGCCCTCCAAAAACAGGCCCATTTAGCAACTTCTAGTACTTCTGGTTTGGCTGTTTTTTGCCTTCCCAAGGATCCGGAGGCTTCTCTCAGGCCTCTGGGAGGGCAAAAACAAGCTCCCTGGGCTCTGGAGGCCCTCTGGAAACCAGAAACAGCCCCATTTTGCAACTTCCAGTACTTCCGGTAGGGCTGTTTTTACCCCTCCTAGAGCCTCTGCACAGACCCTGCGCACTTACTTGCATTGAAAATGGGCCACATGCAGACTCCTGGGAGGAACGGGATTGGTGGGGCCAGCTGGTCAGTTCAAATACCAGTTCGGCAAACTAGATGCAAATTTAACATCCGGTTCGCCCGAATCGGTCCAAACTGATAGAATTCCATCCATTTGACGGACATGTTTCTAAAACACCTTTGCTAGCCTTACCAAAATGCCATCTGTAAAACATTTTATACAGGTTTCCCTTATAGGTAGTTGCCATTGTCAATTTATAATTTGTATCCCAAAGTTTTTTGCCACCTATCTAATTCTATGGTATATCCAAACTTTTTGCCATACTATATTTCTTTCACTTGTTCATCTTCCATTTTAAGGTTTAATAGAAAGCTATATATTTTCTTTAATTCTTCATCAATCATGAACAGTATTATAGAAACCATGTGCCTTTGCATCTTTCTCATATCTCAATATTATTTGCAGGTGTGGCAACCATGCTAGCTCCACACCTTGGAGTTGTAGTCCCTGTTTTATTTTTAGTTTCCCTTCCTCATTCAGAATGTCTTGATATGTTACCATTTTTCCAAGTTTACAATATTTGGATGTATCAGTGCTTCCTTTGTGGAAAGCCAAATTGGTATTTTCATAGTTTTTTGCTCTATTCTTTTCCCCATACTAAGAGTAGAGCGCTTTTTTTACAGTATCTTTGAAAACATCTACACATTTTATTCTTTTCATACCACAAAAAGGCATGCCATCCCAATTGCAGATCAAGTCCCCTCAACAGTAGTAGTCTTCTATGTCTTTAGATTTATCCATTCTTTCACCCAATACAGCAACCCAAACCCACTGTTGTTTTTAGATTCTTACAGCATTTTCAGTCTTATTCTTGCTCTTTTTTTTCTTGCCTAACTTATTTCAAGATTATTGTATTTAGCTCATCAAAGTATTTTTTTTCTCTAATTTTATAGGGATCGTTTGGAACAAAAAAAAAAAACCCCTTCAGCAGGATGTTAATTTCTATGGCTGGTTTCACTTCTCCATGTCCAATTTAATTTGTTGTATTAATCTTTTATACAGTAGTTACCTTCAATTGTTACACATCTTGCTGTTAATTATATTCCAAAATATTTAACTTTCTTGACTACCTGAAGGTCTATATTCTTTGTCAATTCATATTTCTGTTTATCTGTAAGGGAAATAAGTTGATTGCTGTCCACAGGATATTTTTCTGCCCGCTATGGATTCTTTTTTAAGAAGCATTCTGTTTTCACAAAAGCTCCTTCTGCATTCCATACATTTCTATATCCCTCTGCTGTGGATCCTCTTATGGGAAGTAAGGTGACTTATAAAACTGAAGATCTCCCCACATTCCAGGCATTTATAGAGCATTTTGTTAATTAGGGCACCTGTCGGGATCCTGAGAGCTCTCTCCTGCGTGGGTCCTGTTATGGTTCGAAAGAGACCTATTGGCAGCAAACGTCTTTCCACACGCTGTGCACTTATAAGGTTTTTCTCCAGTATGGATCCTATTATGGAAACTAAGTTCAGTGCTTCGGTGGAAGCTCTTCCCACACTCTAGACATTTATGGGGTTTCTCTCCTGTGTGGATGCTTTCATGAGAAGTAAGATTAGTCTTGATCGTGAAGCTCTTTCCGCACTCCAGGCATGTATAGGGTTTTTCCCCCGTGTGGAACCTTTTATGGAGGATCAGGTAACTGCTGTTTTTGTAGCTCTTTCCACACTCCAGGCATTTATAGGGTTTTTCTCCCGTGTGGACCCGTTTATGGGAAGTAAGAGAACTCTTTACACTGAAGCTCTTTCCACACTCCATGCATTTATAGGGCTTTTCTCCTGTATGCACCCGTTTATGGGAAATAAGGCTACCGCTTTGCTTGAAGCTCTTTCCACAGTCTAGGCATTTATAGGGTTTTTCTCCTGTGTGGACCCGTTTATGGGAAATAAGTTGACAGCTTTGCCTGAAGCCTTTCCCACATTCTATGCATTTAAAGGGTTTTTCTCCAGTATGTATCCTTTGATGGGACGTAAGGGAATTCTTCCTAATGAACCTTTCCCCACAATCCACACATTTATAAGGTTTTTCCCCTGAATGGATCCTTCTATGGCACATCAGATAATTACTACTGGAGAAACCCTTCCCACATTCTATGCATTTATAAGGTTTTTCTCCTGTGTGGACCCGTTTATGGGAAGTAAGGAAATTCTTCCTACTGAACCTTTGTCCACAATCCACACATTTATAAGGTTTTCTCCCTGTATGGATCCTTTTGTGCAGTATCAGGTAACTACTACTTCTGAAGCTCTTCCCACACTGTATGCATTTATAGGGTTTTTCTCCTGTGTGGACCCGTTTATGAGAAGTAAGAGCACTCTTTACACTGAAGCTCTTTCCACACTCCAGGCATTCATAGGGTTTTTCTCCTGTGTGGACCCGTTTATGGGAAACAAGCTCAGTGCTTTGCCTGAAGTTCTTTCCACACTCCAGGCATTTATAGGGTTTCTCTCCTGTGTGGATCCGTTTATGAGAAGTAAGAGAACTTTTTACAGTGAACCTCTTTCCACACTCCATGCATTTATAGGGTTTTTCACCTGTGTGGACGCGTTTATGGGAAACTAGGCCATTCCTCTGGCTGAAGCCCTTCCCACATTCTAGGCATTTATAGGGTTTTTCTCCTGTGTGGATCCTTTTATGGGAAATAAGGTTACAGCTCTGGCTGAAGCCCTTCCCACATTCTATGCATTTAAACATTTTTTCTTCAGTATTTAACCTTTTATGAGAAGCAAGGGAACTCTTCACACCGAAACTTTTCCCAATATCCACATATTTATAAGGTTTTCCCCCTGTATGGATCCTTTTGTGGGATTTCAGACATTCTCTGTCCTTGAAGCTCTTTCCATACTCTGGGCACTTACCGAGTTTTTGTCTGGTGTGGATCTTTTTATGAGACGTTAAATTACCTCTCCACCCAACGCTTTTTGCACAGTCTACACCGTTGTAGACACCGTTATTATTGCTGAAGTTCTTTCCAGTTTTGCAGTGATTGCTAATATTGGGGTTTGCTTTGAGTCTTTTTCTACTTTGACATTTCCCCGTATTTTCTTTGGGGAAATCACGTTGGGTCAGGAAACGATCCATTTCCACACATTCAAGAATAGGTTCTTCTCTCCGGTTGTGTTTCTTTTCATGTTTCCTCCTTCCCCGCTTATTTGTAGATGTCTCCCCAGGAATTTCAGTTTTGATTATTTGCAATGGCACTAAATTTGGCTCTTGGTGAATTTCATTCTTCTGCGCATCAAATGCTTGTGGGGGGAAGAAAAATAAATTAGAATAATCTACATCCTCCACTTTGGTGTCCCTATGCTTAGATTTATGTACTACTGGACATATGCGGAGAAAGCAACAAGGGAAATGACAGCATGAATGTTAATTATTAACTTAAAAAACTAGCATGGCTGCTCATCTAACCCTTATTCTTGGCAGTTAAAAATTTAAAGCAAAAGCAAGTCTTGACATCAGGATGTGGCACACAAATTGTCTCAACTGTTGACCCACCCAACTTGCATTCAATAGGACAATATATGTCATTGCAACCCAAAGCAAGACAAAATTTGTTGCTAAGTAGGACAACTGTAACAGGCAAAAACATCATCTCCCTTAACATCTTCCCAATAACTCTGCAGTAATGACCCAGGGCCCCAGGATGACCACAAGACAGAATGTCAACCCTTCTTAGTCACCACTGATCTCTTTCTGCTAAATGAAACTGCTATTTAGAAGACCATGAAGGGGAACTGGAATTAATGTAAGAGGAAAAAAGAAGAGATGAAATCATTTTTAACAAAGTACGTATAGAGGAACCTTTACTTAAAGAGGCCACCATCCTAGATATTTCCAATATGACTTCTTGATACAGGGCTTTCTGGCTGGGATCAAGCAGCAACCACTCTTCACTGTTGAAATGGATGGCCACCTCCCCAAAGGACACAGGACCCTAAAGAAGGAAGAATCCCTGTGAGAAGACTCGACAGTTTGCAAGATCTCCTTCAATCTGCAAATCCTAAAAGCAGAAATGTCTATGGAGATTCTCCGTCATCCATAGTCAGAGTTGTCCCACGGGTGCTTTTTTCAAGAGTTAATTGGACTTTCTGGTTTTTCTTTGAAGATATTTCATTTCTCATCCAAGAAGTTTCTTCAACAACCAGAAAATCCAGTTGCCTCTTGAAAAAAAAAGCACCTTTGGGACTAAAAGTCCTTGTTTGGACATTTCCCAAAGGGGACTCAACATATTATATGATAAAATGGCCTACTGCTGACAGCCAATTAGAGCATGTTTTATCACCTCGACTGACTCTGCTGACCTTCAATATAATCAACCTGCCTTGTTCAAGTGACATATTGTGCTTTACACACACCATCTACCAGTGGCCCCAACATTTCATGATGTTTGCAAGAGGCTCTGTGGGATTTCTGACATAGTAACTTAAACGGTCCTAAGGATAATTTATATAAAATGTTTTATAGGTGGCATTTACCACCAACAATGTTGGAAATGTAACCAGACACCCAGGACATATTATCATATATGGCGGACATGTGTAAAAGCAAAGAAATATTGGACAAAACTACATACATGTTTGGATTTGAAACAACACATGATTTTAAGCCAGAAATATTTTTGCTAGGCATAATACCTGAAAAATATGACAAAGGGAACCTATATTTAATATTACATATCTTGACAGCAGCAAGAAGTGTATTTGCACAATACTGGAAACATGAGGAAACTCCTATGAATAAATGATATATTATTCCTCACAGCAAGAAGCTGAGATGGTGAAAATGATTCTTTTATCCAAATAAAAGAGATTATATTTAATTTTGTCTCTAGCTTGAAATCGCTCCTCCATATAAGCTGCTAATCTCTTCCTTCCTACCTGAGTCGGGAATCCAGCAGATCTTTCAGCTTCACCAATAGGAGGAGATGATTCAGTGGACAACGGTGACTCCATTTTGTCCGCTGGGAAGGAGAGAGACAGGGTGGAAACAGGAGAGGGTTCAACTACATCTTTTCTCGCTTGAAGGCACAAATTAATTTTTTTTTCCTGTTTGGCCCAGGAAACCTCCATTTTTGCCTCTTCTACACATTGCCTTTCATAGGCTCGATCATGGGAGCCAAGAATGAAATGAGAAGACCAACCCCACCACACGCTGAAGAACAATCCTCAGTTGGATTGTTCTCCTAACTTTTTGGAACAACACATGGAATTTTTTACAATCCTCAATCACTGTAAATGCTCTCCCCCCCACCCCCACTCTCTGCAGTTTGAAACCAGAGCGATTTGTGATATTCTAGCAACCCAAGAAACATGCCTGCAAGGACAAGTGGTGTTGGAAATGGCCCAGCAGGGATCTGTGTGGGAATTTAGTCAAAACTATCTCTTAAGGAAGGCCAGAAATAAAGAAAAATCTTTCAGGATGGAGGAAGAGGCAGAATGCATCAAGGTATTCCCTACTAGAGTCGGTTTTCTGTGAAAGAGAAACAATAAGCTTGCTCCGAAGGGAGGAAATTCCTTAAATCTTCTAGCTGGAAGAGGGAGTCATATCTTTCTTATTGGGTCACTTTCTATCAAATCCAACAACTAAGACAGAAGAAGACACAGAGAATTAAGCGTAACTGGAATCCTTCCAAAAAACCTCCAACCCAGTAGAACAGTCTCCCCTTACCTAGTGAAGTATCCTGAACTTGACTTCTATCCTTGGGGACCCCTCTGAAAGACAGATCAGGAGAAAGATTTGTGTGATCCACCCAATTACTCTCCATCTATGGAGGGACCTCAGAACCTGAAATATAAGCAAAGGAGCTGTAAGAGGACAATACAAAAGAGGATCTGAATATTATTTTCTGCCCACAAAACCCTTGTGTCCGTCAGTAATGATGGATGAGCCAATGGGAGAATCACTCCAAATGAGATACTCTTTGGAAGGAAGCAAGAATAATTTCGCTAATGAGTTCTCTAAATTTCTATTGAATAGAATTCTTTATTGGCAAAGTGTGATTGCGCACATAAGGAATTTGTCTTGGTGCAAATGCTCTCAGTATACAAAACAGAAAAGATACATTCGTCATGAGTCAAGAATCATAAGGTACAACACTCAATAAGTCATTGGGTACAATAAGCAATCAAATCATACTAGGAAACAGTCAATATAAATCGTAAGGATACAAGCTACAAGTTACAGTCATACAGTCACAAATGAGAGGGGATGGGTGATAAGGAATGATGAGAAGATTAATAGTAATGCAGACTTTGTAAATAGTTGGACAGTGCTGAGGGAATTATTTGTTTAGCTGAGTGATGGCATTCAGGAAAAAAACTCCTTGTGTCTAGTTCTTCTGGTGTGTAGTGCTCTATAGCGTCGTTTTGAGGATAGGAGTTGAAACAGTTTATGTCCGGGATGTGAGGAGTCTGTAAATATTTTCACAGCCCTCTTTTTGGCTCCTGTAGTATGCAAGTCCTCGACTGAAGGTAGGTTTCTAGTAATTGTTTTTTCTGCAGTCCTAATTACCCTCTGGAGTCTGTGTCTGTCCTGTTGGGTTGCAGAACCAAACCAGACAGTTATAGAGGTGCAGATGACAGACTCAATGATTCCTCTGTAGAACTGGATCAGCAGCTCCTTGGGCAGCTTGAGTTGAGTTGGCGCAGAAAGAACATTCCGTGTTCTTTTTTGATGACGTTTTTGATGTTAGGTGTCCATTTTAGGTCTTGTGATATGATAGAACCTAGAAATTTGAAGGTCTCTATTTTTGATACCGTGTTGTCTAGTATTGTAAGAGGTGGTAGTATGGGAGGGTTTCTCCTAAAGTCTATCACCATTTCTACGGTTTTGAATGTGTTCAGTTCCAGATTATTCCGGTTATACCATGAGGCAAGTCATACAACCTTCCGTCTCTATGTGGATTCGTCGTCTCGAATGAGACCAATCGCTATCAAAATCATGTGTCAAAGTTCAGTATTTTAACAGATGGATTGTCTGAGATGCAGTCAGTTAGGGAGTATATGGGGAGAAGTCGAGAAAGCACACAGCCTTTGGCTGTGCTAATTGTACAGATATCAGTTAGGGAGTATATGGGGAGAAGTCGAGAAAGCACACAGCCTTTGGCTGTGCTAATTGTACAGATATCAGATGTGATTCCGCCTAGCTTCACCTACTGCCTCCTGTCTGTTAGGAAGCTTATGATGCACTTACAAGTGTGTTCAGGTACCGCTAGCTGGTTTAGTTCAGTTAGAAGAAATGTCTGGAATGATGATGTTGAATGCTGAACTGAAGCCTACAAAGAGGGCTCTTGCCTAGGTATTTGGAGATTTGAGATGTTGTAGGATGTAGTGCAGAGCCACATTAACAGCAACATTGGCTCTAAAAATATTGGCAATATTAATGTCCAAAACTCCATGAAGGAGAAATGGAGAATTCAAGCATGTGAAGATCCCTCCAAAAGAAACTTCTCTGACCCGGGGCCCTTCCTGTTTCTTCTCCTCTGCCAGGCTCAGAAGGGATCTTCCAGCCACTTGCACCCCTAGCTCTCCTGGCTCTTCCAGCCTCGGAATCGGAAGGAGATGTGAGCAGGTGGTTCCTTTAGGTTTCCTTCTCTCCTCCCCCCTACCCCATTCTTGGATCTCCCCCCCTCCCCATGCACAGAGTAGCTTTGGGCCGGATTTCCCGATCCCTCCAAGCCTCAGAATCTCGTTCCGTCTCCTGGGGAGGATCTGAGTGGCGGGACCCCCACCTTCCCCGCCCCCACCAGATTCCCAGGGAGCAACTAGCCGCCGGACTTACCCGAAAAACGCAATCGGAGTGGAGCATGCGCAGTGGGCTAGCAGGCGGCTGAGAGTGCGCCCCCTGCCGCCCGCTGGGGGTGAAATCGCAGCTGTGAGGGTTGCTTTGGAGGCTTGGCAGGGCAGAGTCTTCCCAGAGACGCATCTGCTCTGGAGGGCGAGCTCTGCAAGCCGACATCCGGGGGAATCCAGGCGGGGACTGTGGGCCTCCCCGGGTCCTGGTGCAAATGGCGAAAAGTCACCCGGAGGGGATTCCGTCGGATCCCACGGACTCTCTGTCTCTGTGTGTCTCAGATTCTCTCTCTCTCGGTCTCTCTGTCTGTCTCTGTCCCTTTTCCCAGGGAGGGAGGGGCAGGAGTGGACGTAACTCGAAGCAGAGGAGATGGGGCTGTAGAGGAGGCTGTAAGTCCTCAACTTACAACAGTTCACGTAGTGAGCAAAGTTGAGTTCAGCCCCATCTCCTGGCACTTCTGAGACAACATCTGGCAAGAGGACCAGATGTGGTCTCCCCTCCACGCGCCATGCCCGACCGTATAATTTTGCTGTGCTCAGTCCAGGCTGGTTGGGGGCCGCCAAGAGCTTCGTGGCTGGGGGGCTTTGATTGACCGAGAGGTGATGGGGCTGTGACGCAGTGGTGCCTCTTGGCTTCTCTGAGCCCCCTTTGTCCCTTGTTTGGGCAAAACCCTCGATGCCGCCTCCTGCCAGGCGGTGCATCCTTGTTGTGCGTTAACACAATGTTTCTCAACCTGGGGCACCCGGGAGATGTGTGGACTTCCACTCCCAGAATTCCCAGCCAGCAGAGCTACCTGGGGAATTTAGGTGTTGGAAGCCCCTGCATCCTCCAGGTGCTGCCAAGGTTGGGCATCCCTGCCTAACTCTGTGGCTCACAGTTTAGATGAGAGGTAGGCGGTTAAAGGGCCTTTTCTAATCAGTAAAAGTGATACCTTAATACCTGCCTGTTATTCTACATGTATGTTATTCTGAATTTATTAAAAATGCAACGTGTTTGTTTTGTTTATCGAGGCAATTTACAGGCATTGAATAAGTTTTTAAGATTACCTTTTAAAGCATCCATGAGATAATTAGAAATTAGTAGCAAATAATTTTAAAAGCCAGGCAGGCGCTGTCAGTGTATACGAAATTACGAGCTGGGATATCCATAACAAGTCAGCCAATGGGGACTATTTGGTGACTAAGAAACAGGATATCTTCTTGCTATGTTAGCCAGCTAGGAGCCTGGGCCTGACTTAGCTTAGCTGATCTCTCTTAAGAAAGAAGTTCTGTGCTCAAAGCTTGTGCGCTTCTGATTCTGAGGTCACTACTTGTGCCACATTGAAAGAGCTGCATGGGTATTGTATACATGCATCATGTGTTATATTATTGCATATAAAGAAGCTTCTTCTATGAATGAATCCTTTACTTGTGTACTGGAGGAAAGCTGCAAACTCTTAACTGGCGCCACTCCAAAGGCCCCCTGGGGAAGGCATGTTTTTATCAGCCCCTAAAGTGGGGCCAACGGGAAGGTTGTCCCTGGGGGTGGGAGGAGCCCCACAGAGACCACCAACTGCCCCTAAGGAGGGGGGAAACTCTTAGCTGGTGCTCTGTGGCCATCTGGGGTGGACAGAGGAGACGGGTTGGGGATGATGGTCTTTTAGCTAGCCTGGCCTCAGCCACAGAGGCTATTCTATTCTATTCTATTCTATTCTATTCTATTCTATTCTATTCTATTAATATTCTATTCTATTCTATTAATATTCTATTCTATTCTATTCCATATTCTAGTCTAATTCTATTCTATTCTATTCTATTCTATTCTATTCTATTCTATTCTATTCTATTCTATTCTATTCTATTATTCTATTCTATTCTATTCTAATTCTATTCTATTCTATATTCTATTGTATTCTTCACGTTGTTTTAGTGGTTCCATTGTCTGTGGCTTGGTGGATTTTCTCACTAAGCTAATACACTCCCCTTCAAAAACCAAATCCATCATAGAGAAAAGGGTGTCAAGCTATTTTCCAAGGCACCCGAAGGCCAGACAAGGAATAATGGATGGAAACTGAACAAGGAGAGATTCAGCCTGGAAATAAGGAGGAATTTTCTGATGGTGAGAACCAATCAACCGATGGAACAAAAGTTCCCTTCGGAAGTTGTGGGAGCACCATCACTTGAGACCTTCAAGAAGAGACTGGACTGCCATCTGTCAGAAATGGTGCAGGACCTCCTGCTTAGGAGGCGGGGGGGTTGGACTAGATCAGAGGTCACCAATTGGTGGTCTGCGGATCACTGATGGTCCATGAGAAAATTTTGGTGGTCCTCAGGGCACCTGGGTGGAGGAGCTGCTCCAGGGTGACCAATGGGCCAGTCCTGTGACTAGAGCTGTAAAATATGGGACCGGTCAGGCAGCTGGTGGTGGGGCTGGAAATCTCCACCGTACAGGGAGGTATGTGCAACTTGCAACTTTAGCAGATTTAACAGATAATCAGAGTTGGAAGGGACCTTGTAGGTCATCTAGTCCAACCCCCCACCCAAGCAGGAGACCCTACACCATTTCTGGCAAATGGCAGTCCAATCTCTTCTTGAAAGTCTCAAGGGATGGCGCTCCTACAACTTCCAAGGGCAACTTCTGTTCCATGGGTTGATTGTTGACCCCTTCCTCTCTGTGGCAGCCCCTTAAATACTGGAAGACTGCTATCATGTCTTCCCTGGTCCTTCTATTCACTGGACTAGCCAAGCCCAGTTCCTGTAACTGTTCATAGTATGTTTTAGCCTCCAGTCCCCTCATCATCCTGGTTGCTCTTCTCTGTACTTTTTCTAGAGTCTCAACATCTTTTTTTATAATGTGAACAAAAGTGGATGCAGTACTCTAGGTGTGGTCTTACTAAGGCTTTATAGAGTGGTATTAGGACCTCCCTTGATCTTGATTGTATCCCTCTATTAATACAATTTAGGATTGTATTAGCTTTTCTGGCTGCTGCTGCACACTGCTGGCTTATATTTAGCTGGTTGTCCACTAAGACTCCAAGATCCCTCTCATAGTTACTGTTATTGAGCCTAGTTTCATCCAGTCTATATGTGCACTTTTGGTTTTTCTTGCCTAAGTGTAGGACTTTACTTTTCTCTACATTGAATTTCATTTTGTTAGATATGGCCCAGTGTTCTAATCTGTCAAGATCCAGATGGATCTTGAGACTATCTTCTTGGGTGTTAGCTATTCCTGCCAGCTTCGTATCATCTGCAAATTTGGTAGGTTCCCCTTCTATTCCCTCATCTAAGTTGTTAATGAAGATATTGAAAAGTAGTGGACCTAAGACAGAACCTTGTGGCACCCCACTGCTTACTTCCCTCCATGTAGATTTAGACCCGTTAAGGACTACTCGTTGAGTACGGTTTGCCAGCCAGTTGCGAATCCCTCTAGTGGTGGTGCTATCTATTCCACTTTTTTCTAGCTTACTAAGAAGTAGGTTGTGGTCTACATTGTCAAATGCCTTGCTGAAATCTAAATATATTATGTCCATGGTATTTTGCTGGTCTACTAATTTAGTCACTGTGTTGAAGAATGAAATGAGATTGGTTTGGCATGATCAACATGATTAACGAACCTGCTAGTTATTAGATGTTTCTTGATGTTGGCAGATGTTTTTTTATTCTTTTCCAGTATCTTCCTGGGTATTGATGTTAGGCTGATTGGTCTATAGTTTCCTGGGTCTGTTTTTTTTCCCTTTTTTGAAAATGGGAGCCACATCAGCTCTTTTCCAGTCCTCTGGTAGTTCCCCAGTGCTCCAGGATTTTTTGAAAGATATAGTGCAGTGGTTCTGAGATGACCTCTGCCAGCTCCTTTATTAAAACTCTGGGATGGAATCCATCAAGCCCTGGTGATTTGTGTTCATCAAGATCAGATAGGTGTTTTCTTACTATTTTTTTTTTGCTTATTTTAACTTTTTTTTCTGGTCTGTCATTTACAGTTATGGTTTTGGTGGGTTGAGCTATGGTTTCTTTTTGCATGAAGATGTATGCAAACAATGAGTTAAGCAGTTCTGCTTTCTCTCTGTTGCCTATTACTTCCTTGCCATCTTCTCTCTTTAGTGGACTGACTGTAGGTGGTTTGCAGGTGGTGCAACATGCAAGGAGTAGTGCAGTGCTTGCTTGCAGCAAGGGTGTGTGTGTTGGTGGCAGGGATGGGATTCTACAGGTTCACACCTATTCTCTAGAACCAGTTGTTAACATTCTAAGCAGTTCAGAGAACTGGTTGTTAGAAGAAATTACTGGCCTAATCCTGTAAGGAAGGCAGGAAGGAAACATTCTGTTGCTTACAGAAACTGCCTCTCCGTTAACCCTTATTACATTCTTGGCAGGACTAGACTTCCTGTCTCAGGAACTTCTCTGGAGTTTTCCCCCCTTCTTTGCTGGTACTTTGCTTGTATGGAGTGACCATCTAACGTTACAATGGCACTGAAAAAAGTGACTTATGACCATTTTTCACACTTACGATTTACGCAGCATCCCTACAGTCATGAGGCCAGGCGAGATGTGTGCCTTAATGTGAGTGATATGGAGTTGGCCACACCCAGCCAATCACATGACCACCAAGCCATGTCCACCAACTAAGCTACATCCACAGAACTGGTTGTTAAAAAATTTGAATCCCACCCCTGGTTGGCGGTGCAGGCGGGCTGAAGCAACTGGTGTCGGCAACCTGTGGCTCTTTCTTCCCCCTGCTGTGGTCCCCTCCTCCTCCTCCTGGAGCTCATTACAATGTGGAGCATCAGCTGCAGCCGGGTTGGACAAGTTTCTCAGAGTGGAGAAGTGGTTGTGCATCTCCATGAGCAACCGAGGTGCGTCAGCACTAACAAAAGCCAACGAAGCAACCACAAGACCCAGAGAGCACTGGAGAATCAGAATGAGGGAGAGAGAGACAAAGAGAAAAAGAGTGAAAGACAGAGATGGAAAGAGACAGACAGCTGAGACAGATACAATTAAAGAGATGACAGGAAGAAAGACACAGAGAGATGAGACAGAGATGAGAGAAATACAGAGGTGAGATGCTGGTGTTTTTTGTTTTCTGAGGGAAATAGGTCCAAATGGCTCTTGGTCCCTTCCAACTCTGTTGATCTGTTCTGCTCCATCAGCACCAATTCCAGCTTCTTCTCCAGCAGGCAAAGGATCTTCAAGGATTGTGGGCCCCGAGCTCCCACTCTTCTCCCCCTATAACTCCCCCGCCCCTGGAAGACACAAGATCCAGGCCATCCTCATCCCTCCAGGGGTGGGGCGGCAGATTGGAAGCAGGGGGGGGCACCTTTTGGACCATCCACTGGATGACTAGTCACTCAGACCCTCCACCCACAGGACCCCAACGTCCACTTGGTGGGGATGGTTCTGCTCCCTTTGCACTCAAGACTGTCCCAAGCAAAAGGAGTCCCACTTTGGCCACCTCTCGTCCAGTGTATTGTCCACTTCCCTGTGCACAGGATGACCGCTCTCCTTTGGCCACTCCCTGCTGGACGGGCGGGGTTACCTGGCCCCACAAAGACATCGACGGCATGCCAGACTTGAACCTCAAGAAAATACTTCATGCCGGATTATCTTCCACAAGTGGCAAATTTAGGGGTTCCATTAACTCTTTCCCGGCTGGGTTTGTGTCTTGTCCTGAGCCCCAACTGGCTCAGGAGGGGCACACCCTTCCCCCGTCTCATTCCCTCTATCTTGCACCCTTCTGCCCCCTTGCTCATCTTACTCCTTTGAGAGTGCCTGGGTCAGCTCACCTGTGGCCGAAGGTGGCTCATCCCAGCCCCGAAGGGGATCATTCCACCATCCTGGACAAGACCTCGGATCAGTTGCCTCCAAACTCGGGCACCCAAGTTTGGAGTGAAGCTGATAAGAACCTGGGGTGTGTGTGTGTGTTTGTCCTTGGTGGTTCCTTGAGTTTGGTGGTTTTCTTGCAGAGGTTTCATGACCCAAACTAGGCAACATTTTGGTGGTTAGGAGTGGTGTTCGCTCTCAGTTTGCTCTCAACTGAGAGCAACCTCTCCCCTCTCTACTAGCACTGATGACGGTATCTATTTGGGTTGTGAAATGTTTGCAAAAAAAAACAACCAAATTCAGGGACCACCAAGGACGCCCTCAGGTCAACCCTGAGCTACAAAGATTCTCCTTAGAAGGTAATCTTAAAAACTTATTCGATGCCTGTAAATCACCTCGATAAACGATGCAAATAAAACATAAACATGTTGCATTTTTAATAAATTCAGAGTAACATAAATGTAGCATAAATGTAACATAAATGTAGAATAACATTAATATATCACTTTTATTGATTATAAAAGGCCCTTTAACCGCCTACCTCTCATCTAAACTGTGAGCCAGAGTCAGGCAGGGATGCCCAATCTGGGCAGCACCTGGAGGATGCAGGGACTTCCAACACCTATATTGCCCAGGTAGCTCTGCTGGCTGGGAATTCTGGGAGTGGAAGTCCACACATCTCCCGGGTGCCCCAGGTTGAGAAACGTCGTGTTAGTGCACAACAAGGATGCACCGCCTGGCAGGAGGCGGCATCAAGGGTTTTGCCCAAACAAGGGACAAAGGGGAGCCAAGAGGCACCACTGCGTCACAGCCCCACCACCTCTCGGTCAGTCAAAGCCCCCCAGCCACGAAGCTCTTGGCGGCCACCAACCAGCCTGGACTGAGCATGGCAAAATTATAAGGTCGGGCATGGCGCGTGGAGGGGAGACCACATCTGGTCCTCTTGCCAGGTGTGGTCTCGAAGGTGCCAGGAGGTGGGGCTGAACTCAACTTTGGTCACTACGTGAACTGTTGTAAGTTGGGGACTATCAGTCACACACATTGAAGGGTGACCCCCATCTGGCCCAGATAGAAAAAAGGCCGGAACATCTCCCCAAAGAAGGGCCCTTTCTTGAAGGTGTAGAGTGAAGCCCCTGTCACTGCATCCAGGATCTGCACTTCTTTTGCCTCGCAGTCCAGCCTCACCCACAGTCTCCGCGGCGAACTTTGCAATGTCACCCGATACGGTTCAAAAGCGATCATCTGCCCCCAAACATTATTCCCCACGGCCCATATTCCCACCTGGGAGCTCAGCTTGAAGCTCCCCTTCCTGGGGATGGACTCCTTGGCCACCCCGATGGCCCAGCTTACTTCGCCCTGCACTGGGAAATTGTAAGGCCCCTGCACGGAGACTTCCCACCAGTGCCATCCTGTGGTGAATCCTTCAGAGCCCAGGACACATAATTCCTGATCGAACCTCTCTGGCACATCTGGGCAATCCTGGAATCTGTTGGCCCAAGTCACACTGGAGCCCTGGCACCAGAGCTGTGGGTGGGCGGTGGAGCCATTCAGCGTGATGTAGACTGCAAGACGGAGAACAAAAACTCTTTAAGGCGGGCCACAAAACATTTCTATGGTCTTTTTAAGAGTTGCCGACAGAAAAGGAGGGGGAGCAGTGCGGTAGCTTGGAAATCGAAAGTGCATTCCACACATAGCTTTTCAGAGATAGTAGCTAGGTGACTGAAGTTTCTGCTGAGCAAATATCTAACTGGAGAGCATGACTGAGGACTCTTGGCTACCAAGGGCAAAGCAGGGCAGGGCTGGATGCTTCACCTGCTCAGGGAAGGACCTGCTTAGCGGGCAAAAGGCAGCAGTGTGGCAAAGGGAGGAAACTGGGCCGTTTGGTCCTCTCTGGAGCCCAGAGTCGCAGTGCCTGGCAAGGGCCCCAACTCAAAAATGGGACCAATTCCTAAATACAACAGGCCTCTGCAGGCAGAGGTCAGTGGCGCTGCCTCTGAAGGGGGGGGCTCATGGGCAGTTGGGGGGGGGTCTGACCCAGACTAGGCCCTGCGCTTACTTCAATTCCCCAGGGCACAGGTCATCCTCAGCTTCCAACCGTTCCTTTAGTGAAGGTTTGAAGTTACAATGGCACTGAAAGGGTGACCTACAGCCCCTTTTCACACTTATGGCCATTGAAGCATCCCCAGGGTCACGTGATCAAAACTTGGCCATTTCGCAACTGGCATGGATTTATGACGGCTGCTGAGCCCCGGGGTCAGGGGTTCCCCCCCCCATTTACTAGGCGCCTGGAGGGCTGGTTCAGGCAGGGCCCTTGCCAGGCAGGGGATGCCCAACATCTGCCACCCGCTACGGACTCCACCCGCTATGGACTCCACCCGCTACGGAAAGCTGCCTTTTCCTCCATGTGCTGTTACCTTTAGGAGATCTTGGCTGTTCTGGAGCAGGTGCTGGGGAGGAAGGGGGAGAAGTTTAAAATTAGGCTGGGGGGCTTGGAGAAGCCCCCTCCCCCACTTCTCACAAGGCACAGATCAACACTGAGCTGGGCTCTTCTATGCCTGGAAAGCTGTGAGTGTCTTTGCCCCGTAGCTCTTTTCTGGAAGGGCCAAGGGGTGGAAGGGAAGGGCTGACTCCATTTGGCTGCTGAGGGACCCGACTTCTCCCCCAGAAGATGCCTTCGGGGCCCTCCAGACTCGGGGCTTCCACCCACGGAGAAAGCCACTCCTGGCAGGCGTCACTCCTGACGATGTGGGGAAACCACGGTTGTGAGGTCTGGCGAGAGCAGGTGGTTTTTGCAAGCCCCTCCCCCACTGACTCCTCCCCACCAGCCCCGGGGGTTTTACCTGTGGTCAGATGTTGCTCAAGGTTCTCCCTGGTCAGAGTTGTCTTCAGAGAGGCTGAGATTCAGAGGAGGAAAGGAAACAAATGAGGCCGGGATGAGAAACAGCCACCAGGGGCTGATGCCCGTGAGCAGAAGCCACCCTGTTGGCAGCAGCGTCTCGGTTCCTGCCAGATGCCCGGTGTTCCCCCACAAGGACCATGGCTGGGGGGGGGGTAACTGATCAGTGGAAGAGGCAGCCCCCGTTATGTATATGTAAATAACGTAGCTGTGTTTGCAGCTTTAAGGAAAAATACCATAATGTATTATGCTGTGTTCTGGTTGGTTAACTATGCTACAAGTTGCCATAAGAGGGAGCTATAGATCATGGTTTATTTCTCTCTTTTTCACTGATGATCTCTCTTTATACTGATCAACTACGGACCGATACTGACTATCCCTGTTTATTTTGAGTCTGTTGATATCAAAGGTTATTTGTTGTATTACGGTTTGATATTTGTCTGCTGTAAAAGACACGGAACTGGTAAGAAAACTTTATAACTAGATGTAAGACTACTTTATAACTGGACTGTTAAAAACGTGTATGACATGGACTGTTTATTGGACTGTGCTATTTCTTCAAGTAAACATTAATACTTGTTCAACTCTGTGTGACTGTATATTTCATCGTAACTGTTTTCATAAACCGTTTTCCATGTGCATATTCTTTTTTTATACAAGGATTACGCTGCACATATCCCAACACCCCACTTCACCCAGCCAGAGGTTGGATGGAGCTGGATTGGGCCTGGCTTCCCCAAGATCCCCCACTAGGAAGGGGGCAGGAGGAGGGCCCAGAACTCCTTGGGCTCCTCCTGAGGGCCCCAGCCCCCCAGCCCCTCCTGAGAAGGCCCCTCACCTTTGTAACTGTCCACAATCCGCCTTACAGAAGCGTTTTTCTCTAAGAGGGTCTGGAGTCTGCCTTGCAGCCTGGGAGAGGCGCTCTCCACGTGCCCTACCAGGTAACTCTGGCACCTGTGACACAAGGAAGGCCGCATCATGCAGCTAACCAGCTGTCTCCCCACAAAACAGGGGGGGTTGGGTTAGGGCTGAGTTGGCCGTGAGGTGTATGGAACAAGCCAGTCCTTTCCAGCATTTTGCCAATTGAATACAGGACTCGGGTTTTGCAAACCTGAGTTCAGGATGTGGCCTGAATCCTGGCATGCTTCTTATGCAAACATTGTTTGTTGCTTTGATCGCAACTGACTCTCCGCACCGAACTGGTGTAGAGGTCAGTAGAGAAGTGAGGAGAGTCATGAACTCAACACAAACGTCAATGTGATTCTGATCTGAAGGTCCTTGGGGCTCAGCTGTTTTCTTGCAGACCTTTCATTACCCAACTGAGCAACATCATCAGTGCCAGAAGGGAGTGCGGTTTGCTCTCTTTTCACACAGAGGTAACCCTCAACTTTTAGTTTGTGAATGTTTAAAGTTACGGCAGTGAAAAAAGTACCCTCTGGCCATTTTGCAGTTTCGACCTTTGCAGTGTCCCCATGGCTACGGGATCCAAATGCAGATGCTTGGTGACTGGCTCACACTTATGACCATTGCTGGATCCCAAGGTCATGTGGCCATTGGACAAGCAAAGTCCACGGGGAAGCTAGATTCACTTAATCAGGTTACTAACCTATCAACGGCAGTGATATGCTTAAGTGTGGCAAACAAGGTCGTAAAGACTCAGTTAACAACTGTCTCACTTAGTAACAGAAATCTTGGCTTCAGCTGTAGTTGTGAGGTCGAGGACTGCCTGCATTCCTGGCTTGCCCTGACAGGATTGCTGTGACGGTTGTTCTCTCCTTGGGGGCTCCCTGTTAAGACTGCTTTTTGCTGTTGGACTGTCAGTTGGCGTTGGTGGTGCCTCACCTGTGCTGTTTACAACACCTGAGCAACCACTGAGTCTTGTATATCAACGGGGAGAGAACCCCACTCCCTCCCAGCACGGATGGTGTTACCAAGTCAGTGTTGTGGCCCGCTGGCAGTTGCCCAAGCTGGCAACATAGTTGGACGGTAGTCAGGAGGTTGGGAAGGAACCCGGGACAGTCTTGGAGGCTGAGGAAGGTTCGGATGAGGGCTCTGCGTCAGAGGCAGAGATGGGGCCAGGGCAGCCTGGCAGTCATCAGCTGCCTTCAGGCTTGGACAGCACTGAGGTGGGGGAGCTTCTGGAACTGGTCCCTAGCCTGCACATGCACAAAGCTGCCAAAAGGAACAATTACAAACTCAGGGTCAATGTCGGAGTAAGGCCACAGGTAGATGACGAATGCCCCCTTCCATCAGGATTAAAAGAGAAGCAAAAGGGGAGGGGCCTTTTGCAGGAAACAAATCACTCGCTCATTTGTTTGAGCCGTGTGGAAATTTGTCTGTATAACCCAACCCTTCCCTGTCAGCACTGAGGGTGGAACTATTTACAAGGCAGCATTCCAGGATTGAGAAGGCCTCAGCTAATTAGCATACCTTTGCAAGACAGTTTGCCAAGCTGTTGGCTGACTGTAAATGAAATAAATTCATATTAATGTAGTAAAAGAGCGCTTGCCAGGATCCAGAATTGACTTAGTGCTTTTTGGGGAGGCCTAGGACAGAACAGTCAGGTAATGAAATGTCTGCTGGAAGTCAGTTAAGCTCCAAAAGTACCAAAGATCCCACAACCAGTATCTCTCGGCCACAGAATTCGAAAGGATGCGGCCGCACCAGGAATTCTGAGCACAAACCAACCCACAAAGACAGATGAGGAAGAGCAAGATGACGCCTACCTGTCTACGGTGCCCTGGATGTCCTGAAAGAGGAGAAGAGAGAAATGGGTGCCGGCCTTCACAAGCGTGCCGGTCTCCCCTCCCCCTGGGAAACCTCTGCTTTCCCCCCTTGAAGCCAGTGAGGGTCCCCACCCCCTCACCTGCAAGAATTCTCCCTCTGGCTGGTGGTACTTTCTCTTCGTCTGGTCCATCAGCTGCTGCAGGCCGGAGGCTTTCCTGGAGATCTGGGCCAGCGCGACCCCCCATTCGGCCTCCATCTTCTCCTCCTGCTCGGCTAGCCAGCCCAGCCAGACCGGCTGACTCTCCCGGAGCAGCTCCTGCAGGGACTCCAGCGCCAGGCCCAGCTGCTGCTTTTCAGTGGCAAATTGCTCCTGAGGGGAGGGGGCAGAAAACGGGGGACTCAGATGGAGATTTCCCAGCCGCAGAATCGGAGTCCCTGGGAGGCTGCCTCCTGCCCCCTCCCCAAGAGACCCACCTGGCATTCCTTCCGGCTCTGCTCCACGGTCTGCCTCTGATGCAGCAGCGTCTGCTTCTCCTTGCTAAGGGATTCGAGGAGGCCATCCAGCAAGTCCTGCGCGCAGAGGAGAGGGTGCTATTCCTGGCTCCCAAATGGGAGCGCTCCCACCCAGAGGGGGCCACAGGGATCATGGGGCCACACTCAAGGAGAGGCCCTGCTGGAGGGTCCCAGGGGCAGGCAGGGGCCCACAAGGAGTCGAGCAACTGAGAGTTGGTCTCCCCCACCTTCTCTTCTCTCGCTGCCAAAAAAGAGCCTGGTTCTCGTCCGCCATTTTTTTAACTTGGTAGCCTTTTGTGGGCGTCTCACTTCTGCCAAGAAGCTCTTCCCATCTTTCGGGGACTTTGGGTGACTCCTGTGCCTGCCCCGCCAAAGAGCTGACGGAGTGCCCCAGGGAGTTGGTGCCTACCTTGTACTCCTGGGCAGCCTCGGGCAGAGAGAGGAGAGGGTGGCCCTGGTGCTTCCCCAGGCAGCCGGGGCAGAGGAGGCTCTTCTCACTGGAGCAGAAGATCTGCAGAGGCTGCCTGTGTTCCTGGCAGAGCTGTTGGCCGCTGCTCTCCTCCTGGGCTCCCTCTGGCAGCTGAAGCTTCTTCACCAGACAAACCACATTGGCCAGGACCCAGCTGGGGCAGGCGCCGCTGGGCTCCACCTTGGCTCTGCACTGGGGGCAGGAAGCCTCAGCACCCAGCAGGGCCAGGCAGTCGCGGCAGAAGCTGTGCCCACAGGAGAGGCTCATCGGCTGCTTGAAGAAGTCCAGGCAGAGCGGGCAGGTGGCCTCCTGCTTCAGCTCCCTCAAGGCCGTCTTTTCACCTGAGGTTGCCATGGGGTTTTTCAGTCCCTTTTCCCCCTTTGCTGAACCTGGAAATGAAAGCTGTTCATTGCCTCCTTCTGGGGAGGCGCATTTCTCAGCCCCTCCCCCAGGGAATAGAGTGCTCTGAAGCCCTCCTCCAATTAAATGGCTTCTTGCAAAAGGGGGGGTTGCCCAGTAGCCACAGAAGAGGGCAAAGGAAGCCCCCTCAGGGTCTGGGGCAGCCTCTTCGGGCATCCACCCCATCTCTTCAGTTCCCTCAAGCTCAGCCTGGTCAGACTTCCGGCTGATGTCATGACAAGACCACAAACAGTGAACGAAGGTCTCCGTTCCTGCGCTGGCTTCTCGCCGTTTGTGGCCTCCTAATGGAGCCAAAAGCCACCTTGGAAGGGCGGCAAAGCTAAGGAGAAGTGCTTGGTGAGGTTCTGGAGGAGAATACAACTCCCCTGTAAAAACCCCAAATTTGTTCTCTATGCCACGATGGAGAGAAGAGCAGGCCAAGATGGATGCTACAAAGTTAGGACAGCCGAAGAACATCTAAGCCCAGTGCTGGAGTGGAGACTGGGAACAGTGTTCGGAGAAGGGTGAGAAGAATCTATATTATTTTTAACTACCCCAAAAACTATAACAGAGAAGAATAAAAGAATTGTGCTAGCAGTGGATAGAAGAAGAATTTGGAAATATAAAGAGCTTTAAAGTTTTTTTAAAAAAACTTAAAATCTGAAACTGAACTTATCTAAAAGAACATTAATTGGGAATTGGCAATCAGGCAAGATTTGGCATTAAAAGGCATTAATCTGAATGCTGGAAGTAATTGTTCTAAAAAGGAGTAATATTTGGTTTTTAAAATTGGTGAAGCTAAATAAACGGGAAAAGAGTGGCTGTGGAACAGGATTAAAAGCGCCACTTGCTGATGAAAGAAAAATCCTGTAGAACCCTTTCAACTAACAACTTTATTAAAAGAAGTAATTAAAAATGGAATAAAAGACATTATAATAAGACCCCTGGAAGTTGGAATATATTATAATCAAAAAGTAAGAATATAGGAGGATGCGACCTCTGGAATTATTGGTGTTTTGGACTGATTAACATTGGAAATAAAGATTTGAGGACATTGATATTTTAAAACAAAGAAGAGATACTGGTTCAAGTAAAATAAAATTAACTGGATAACTGGACTAATAAGCAATATAAAGATGAGTGAAATATAAAAGAAATAAGAATGGACATTCGAGCTATGAATGTGGGATAGAATGTTGGATTTGTGCACTAAAATACAGAATACAGAAGAAAATTCACAGCAGGAGGAGGAGAAAGAACAAAGGAGGAGGAGTCAGAAGAAAGAGGAACCAGTGAAATGGAACAATGCAAAAGGAAAAGAAAGAAGTTGAACATGAAATATCAATGATAGACATAATAAATGAGAGGGGATATTGAGATTGAAACACTGATAAATGAAATGGTTAAGGAAATACAGAGAGATCAAAAGAGGGTGGGGGCAAACTTTGACAAAAGGGAGAGAAAATATAAGAAAATTACGACAGAGGAAGGACTAAGGGAAAAAGCCACAAGATGATAGTAAATGGCAGGCAAGCTAAGGAGGTAACATAAAAGAAAGACTTAGAGATAATGGTTAAGAATGGAAAAGAGGGAGACTCCACGTGAAGAGATATATTTGTAATAAACATATATAATAGATTTTGAGGAAATGGGAGTAAGAAGTAGAACAAGAGGAATAAATGAAAACAAGAATCTATAACAAATTAATCAAATAAAATAGAAATGCTTATGTAAGATATAAATGATCAATAGTTAAGATACGAAAAAAATGTTATGTGGAGGCTGACTGAGAATTGATATAACTATATAGTAGGATAATATTTTAATGAATTATATATTTTGTTATTCACGTACACTGCTCAAAAAAATAAAGGGAACACTTAAACAACACAATGTAACTCCAAGTCAATCACACTTCTGTGAAATCAAACTGTCCACTTAGGTAGCAACACTGATTGACAATCAATTTCACTTGCTGTTGTGCAAATGGAATAGACAACAGGTGGAAAGCATAGGCAGTTAGCAAGACATCCCCAATAAAGGAGTGGTTCTGCAGGTGGTGACCACAGACCACTTCTCAGTTCTTATGCTTTTTGGCTGATGGTTCGGTCACTTTTGAATGCTGGCGGTGCTTTCACTCTAGTGGTAGCATGAGACGGAGTCTACAACCCACACAAGTGGCTCAGGAAGCGCAGCTCATCCAGGATGGCACATCAATGCGAGCTGTGGCAAGAAGGTTTGCTGTGTCTGTCAACGTAGTGTCCAGAGCATGGAGGCGCTACCAGGAGACAGACCAGTACATCAGGAGACGTGGAGAAGGCCACAGGAGAGCAACAACCCAGCATCAGGACTGCTACCTCCACCTTTGTGCAAGGAGGGACAGGAGGAGCATTGCCAGAGTCCTGCAAAATGACCTCCAGCGGGCCACAAATGTGCATGTGGCTGCTCAAGCAGTCAGAAACAGACTCCATGAGGGTGGTATGAGGGCCTGATGTCCACAGGGGGGGTTGTGCTTACAGCCCAACACCATGCAAGAGAACACCAAGATTGGCAAATTCGCCTCTGGCATCCTGTGCTCTTCACAGATGAAAGCAGGTATGAAAGCACATGTGACAGACGTGACAGACGTGTCAGGGTCTGGAGATGCCATGGAGAACGTTCTGCTGCCTGCAACATCCGCCAGCATGACCAGTTTGGCAGTGGGTCAGTAATGGTGTGGGGTGGCATTTTTAGGGGGCCACACAGCCCTCCATGTGCTCACCAGAGGTAGCCTGACTGCCATTGGGTACCGAGATGAGACCCCTTGTGAGACCATATGCTGGTGCGGTTGGCCCTGAGTTCCTCCTAATGCATGACAATGCTAGACCTCATGTGCTGGAGTGTGTCAGCAGTTCCTGCAAGATGAAGGCATTGATGCTATGGACTGGCCCTCCCGCCGTTCCCCAGACCTGAATCCAATTGAGCACTTCTGGGACATCATGTCTCGCTCCATTCACCAACACCACATTGCACCATACTCCAGGAGTTGTGGGATGCTTTAGTCCAGGTGTGAGAGGAGATCCCTCAAGAGACCATCTGCCACCTCATCAGGAGCATACCCCGGCGTTGTAGGGAGATCATACAGGCACGCGGAGGCCACACACACTACTGAGCCTCATTTTCACTTGTTTGAAGGACATTACATCAAAGTTGGATCAGCCTGTAGTGTTTTTTTCCACTTTAATTTTGAGTGTGACTCCAAATCCAGACCTCCATGGATTGCTAAATTTGATTTCCATTGATAATCTTTGTGTGATTTTGTTGCCAGCACATCCAACTATGTAATGAACAAAGTATTTAATATTTTATTCATTCAGATCTAGGATGTCTTATTTTTGTATTCCTTTTATTTTTTTTGAGCAGGATATATAAGATAACGAGGTAATAATATAAGATTGAATGTATTGGCTAAGAGAAAATATACTTGTGTTAAAATGAGATGCTAGTGGGAAGGGAACCTATAGAAAAGAAAATAGAAGCAAATGTAATATTGGGGAAAACATAATAGGGGATAATATAAATTAAGATGGAGTTTTTGAACATTTAAAGAATGGTAGGAATGGCAGCTTAAAAAGACCAAAGGCATATCTAAACATGTATTATAAACATGGTGAGCACAAGAATACACGATCAAGGAAATTGGAGATTGACTAATATGTTTTTAATAAATTAAATATTTTGTTATCCACTCATTACCAGGTAACCAGGATATATTATTACAAATTTGGTAACATAAACATGGCGAATATAAGAATGTGCCATTAAGGAAATTAGAGACGGGCTAACTGGATTAAGATGAAACTTTGGAATGGCTGATGAAATGATATGACGAAACTGTAAATAGGTAGGATATATCATCAAGGAAGATAAGAAAATGCGTTAAAAATTTGTTATAAATTTGGTAACATAAACATGGCGAATATAAGAATGTACCATTAAGGAAATTAGAGACAGGCTAACTGGATTAAGACAAAATTTTGGAATGGCTGATGAAATGATATGACGAAACTGTAAATAGGTAGAATATATGATCAAGGAAGATAAGAGAATGCGTAAAATAAAGACGAAACTTTTGAATGGCTGATGAAATGATATGACGAAACTGTAAATAGGTAGAATATATGATCAAGGAAGATAAGAAAATGCGTTATAAATTTGTTATAAATTTGTTATAAATTTGGTAACATAAACATGGCCAACATAAGAATGTACCATTAAGGAAATTAGAGACGGGCTAACTGGATTAAGACAAAACTTTTGAATGGCTGATGAAATGATATGACGAAACTGTAAATAGGTAGAATATATGATCAAGAAAGATAAGAGAATGCGTTAAAAATAAAGAGATCGACACCAAGTAAACGATGAGAAGATAAGAGACGGGGAAAATGAGAAAGAGACGCTGTTCTTCGCAAAGGTGGATTTAAAGAATTAAAAAAATAAAACACTTTTTGACACACACACCCGTCAAAAAAAGCCCGGCCAGCTCAGGGGTGTCGGAGGCTCCGGGCCTTCCTTGGTTCGCCTGGGGAAGAAGCGAGTCTGGAGCCGCATAGAGGCCCCCCACCGTCCCCCCTTCGCACTCCTCAGCCTCCCCACTTCCCTGCCAGGCCTTCCCCCCCTCCCGAAACCCCTCGGGAAGAGTCAAGAGCCAAATCCGGTCCGAGGCCCCCACCCCACACCCTCTGGGGCCCTTCAGCGGGGAGTCGGGACACCGTTTCGGTGGGGAGAAAGTTTACCTGCAAAGCTGACCTCCGTCGGCCCTTCGCCTAGCGGAGCCCCCCGCGCTTCCCTCCTCCGAGGGGCCTCCGGTCCAGTCGGGCCACGGGCGGGGAGGGAAAGGCAGCTTCGGTCGGAGCCGACAAGGGGCGCCGCTTCTGGGCCTGGGAGGGCAGCGAAGAGCAGCCGGAAAACTCCCCCCCGCGCCGCAGAAAGGCGGCCGCCGCCCGGGAGGTTAAGAGCAACGCGGGTGCCTTCGCACGCGGAGGCGAAGAAGGGCCGAAGGCACTTTCGGTTTCGTTTCCCAGCTGGCGAGGGGAGGAAGGAGGGGGCGGCCCCGCCCCGCCCCGCCCCGCGAGGGGAGGCCACGCCTCTCCCGTCCCGCCCAGCCCCGCCCCTCGGCTCCCCTCCGGCGGCCTCTCCGTTGCACGCGCCTCGCTCAGCCCACGTGACCGGGTTTCCCGCCCGCCGGAAAGGAGAGGCCCCCTGTTGGGGGGGGGGGGGGCCGGCGGGGCCCCCCCGGCGGGCCCCCGCCCGCCCCCGGGGCCCCCGGGGGGGGGCTTCGGGTGCCGGCCAGAGTCCCCGGGGAGTGAAGGCCGCTGCCCCGGGTGCGGCTGCTTCTCTCCCCCCGCCCCCGGGGCGCGGGGGGGCTTGCGGGGCCACTTTGGGGCGAGGAGCTGGGGGAGCCTAACTAGCTGGCATTGGCCCGGTGGGGAAGCCGAAGGAAGCCAGGGCTCCATCCAGGGGAGGCCCTGGGCTGTGTGAGGGGAGCCTGGGAGACCCCCGGGACTCCTGGAGAGGTGAGTGGGCCGGGCACCTCTCCCCACCCAGAGGGGCTAAGGTGGGGGGGGAGCAGCCAGCAGCCTTCCCGCCTTCTGAGCATGAGGGGAATGGTCCTCCAGGACCAGCTGGGGATGCCTCCCACCGCAGCCTCGACCCCCGACGGGCCCGGTGTCCCACAAGAGCTCCCCTTCTCGGACCAGCTGGGGGTGGGTGGGCGGGGTGAGAACCCTGAGGCAGCCCCGCCATGCTCCTGCCCGGACGATGGTCAGCATGGACCATGGAAGGTCCCTGGAGAAGGGCAGGAGCGGCTGCCCACCCCAGCCTCGGATCCCCCGAAAGGGACCCCGACTAGCCTGTTGCTCTCTGCTGGGGCAGCCGGGATGGGGGGGGCGCTTTGGGGCGGCCGCTACAAGTACACTTGCTCTACCAGCCCAGAGACCTGCAAAGCTCTCCCGGGCGGGAGGGGCGTCTCTACCGAAGCCGCAACTGCAGTGGGACACCCCCCCAACCACATTGATGCTGCGGCTGTACTTTTATTTGTGGTGCCTCGTAAGCAGAAACTCGTCCGAGGTTCCCATAGAAGGGACCATTCCCAGCGGAGTGTTGAACCCCTGGGCCGCTGAGGAGGTCAGCTACTTTGGAAATGATAATAGATAACAGGTAATCAGAGTTGGAAGGGACCTTGTAGGTCATCTAGTCCAACCCCCCCGCCCAAGCAGGAGACCCTATACCATTTCTGACAAATGGCAGTCCAATCCCTTCTTGAAAGTCTCAAGTGATGGCATTCCCACAACTTCCGAGGGCAACTTCTGTTCCATGGGTTGATTGTTCTCACTGTCAGAAAGTTTCTCCTTATTTCCAGGTTAAATCTCTCATTCAGTTTCCATCCATTATTCCTTGTCTGGCCTTCGGGTGCTTTAGGAAATAGACTGAGCCCTTCCTCTCTGTGGCAGCCCCTTAAATATTGGAAGACCGCTATCATGTCTCCCCTGATCCTTCTCTTCACTAGACTAGCCAAGCCCAGTTCCTGCAACCTCTCATCATATGTTTTAGCCTCCAGTCCCCTGATCATCCTGGTTGCTCTTCTCTGCACTTTCTCTAGAGTCTCAACATCTCTTTTTATAATGTGGTGAACAAAAGTGGATGCAGTACTCTAGGTGTGGTCTTACTAAGGCTTTATAGAGTGGTATTAGGACCTCCCTTGATCTTGATTGTATACCTCTGTTAATACAATTTAGGATTGCATTAGCTTTTTTGGCTGCTGCTGCACACTGCTGGCTCCTGTTTAGCTGGTTGTCCATTAAGGCTCCAAGATCCTTCTCAGTTACTGCTATTGAGCCTGGTTTCACCCAGTCTATATGTGTACTTTTGGTTTTTCTTGCCTAAGTGTAAGACTTTACTTTTCTCTATATTGAATTTCATTTTGTTAGGGCCCAGTGTTCTAATCTGTCAAGATCCATCTGGATCTTGAGCCTATCTTCTTGGGTGTTAGCTATTCCTGCCAGCTTAGTATCATCTGCAAATTTGGTAAGTTCCCCTTCTATTCCCTCATCTAAGTCGTTAATGAAGATATTGAAGAGTATTGGGCCTAAGAAAGAACCTTGTGGCACCCCTTTGCTTACTTCCCTCCATGTAGACTTAGACCCATTAAGGACTACTCGTTGAGTACGGTTTGCCAGCCAGTTGCGAGGCCATCTCGTGGCGGTGCTATCTATTCCACTTTTTTTCTAGCTTACGAAGAAGTAGGTTGTGGTCTACAGTTGCCCTCGGAAGTTGTGGGAGCGCCATCACCTGAGGCTTTCAAGAAGAGATTGGACTGCCTTTTGTCAGAAATGGAGTAGGGTCTCCCGCTTGGGCGGGGTGGTGGTGGACTAAATGACCTATAAGGTCCCTTCCAACTCTGATTATCTGTTATCTGTTACTAATTTAGTCACTGTGTTGAAGAATGAAATAGGATTGCTTTGGCATGATCTAGATGGGTCTGCAAGGAAAAGAAAACTCCCATCCGGCTCGGAGATCCCCAAAGACTCTGCACTAGAAGTTGCAAAGCCCCCTCCCCTCCCCCAGGCCTTATAGGACCCCTTTCTCTGGAGCAGCAGCAGCAACGGGCCAAAAATTGGGGTGAAATCTCAGTCTTCGCAGCTGAAGAATCTCTGTGACTTTGAATAGTATTTATTAGTTGGAACAAAACACCGAAACCCCCATGATTTTCGACTCTCTAGATTGATCGGTATCCGTGTGAAATTCCCATTCTTACAATCATTTAACCTCCTAGAAACGCCCTGGTCCTGCCCCACAGAGGATATGATTATAAATCTTATTATAAATCCTATTGTCCCCATTTAATCGTATCTATTTTCTGTGTTCTTACTCATCTTTACACTTACACCTATTACTTTGTAAGCGATTGACAAATCTAAATAAATAAATAAATGAAGTAATGGATTGCGCTGAAATGAACAAACTCACAACGAAATTGCAGGAGAGGGAAAAAAAGAATTCTAAATACGGTCTGAGAAAAATGGTATGTCTGGTTAAACAATAGAAAGAAAAGATAATATGAAAGTAAAAGAGTAGAAGAGTAATTGTCAATAACATAGGTATGTATGTACAGGAGAATGGAGTAACTGATGCTACAAACAACTGCAAAAAATGTATATCGAATTCGTTTTTAAAGGTGAAAATTCAATAAAGTGTGTATGTGTGTGCGTAAAATATAAATAAAAAAATATACTGGTCCTTTTTTATTTTCACTTTAGGCAATAAAGAGATTTCAAACATGGGGACCTCTTGATTCCATGTGTGACTGTTGCAGCAGATCCTGTTTTCAAATCAGGACACAAGACCACGAAAGGTTGGAGAATACAGGTTTTTATTTGTGCACAAGGTTCAGAGCATTAGAATGGCAAATTCTGAACCCCTGGCTCTTCCCGAGGCGTCACTTTTATACACGTCATGACCTCAGCTTAGCCCGGGGCGTTACTTTTATTAAACTATACCAACGAAGGAGAATAACATATATACCAAGAAAAGAGAAGTACATATAATTACTCATTTTACCTTACACCATCTGTTGTTTTCCATATCTACCCTCGTTTACTGGAACACGGCTAGTTCCTTGGTGCAGTAACTTTGTGGTTTTGCACAATATTGTATTAAGCAAAGGTTTGGAGAATTGGGGGACTTCTGCTAAATATAAAAGTGCTTTATGTGTAATTTTTCCACTGCTACAACACCATAAGCTGCCCGAAACAAATAAACAAGGTCCAAAACTACGAATCTTATGGCGCCTGGTAAGTTTTCGTCCTTCCGGACAACTGCAGAGGCTCTGCAAACATTCGTCCTGCATGTTGCCAGCCAAAATGGAACTGCTGATGGGTGGATCTGTCAGTATATAAGTAATTATGAACTGGAATGGACATGGCAGCAGGTCAGTCGACGGGGGCTGTTTGGAAACTGAAACCTAGTATTTATTTGTATGGGGCCATAAGACAGTTTGGAGTCTGGGCGTGGCTTAGACTTGCTGGACTGTATAGAAAAGTTAGTTTGTAGGCCTCTGTGTCTCTCTCCTCTGTAACGACTTGCTTCTGTGAATATTGCTTCTGTCTTCCTGATTTTGTATGCTGACTTCTGCTGTATGGGATTGTATATAAAGAAGTTTTTCTTATGTGGATGAATCCTGCAAACTTATTTACTTCTATGCTGGTCAGCTGTGCTGGAAACTCTGACAGGATCCACCCCACAGAAGCTCCGTTCGGGCCTCCAGAAGCCTCACCCAGCCAATTGCAAGCTGAAACGGAGCTTCTGAGGGGCGGATTTCAGCCTGCGACGTGCCGGGCGAGGCCTCCAGAGGCCCAAAGGGAACGGCAAAGGAGCGCATGGGGCTGAGGGGCAGGAGAAGAAGCTGCTTGCTGGTAAGTGACCCAGCGCAGCAGGTTGGGGACGGGTGGGGGGGAAGCAATTGTGGGGAGCACAAGGTATTTCAGTGGGCCGGGGAGGCCTTGGTGGTCTTGGGCAGGTGGCCTGTCCCATTGCTGCACCCCCCACACAGACAGCCTTCCCCAGCCTGAGAGCCTTCGATTGTGGGCGAAAGGAGGGAGCGATCCCATTGAAGGTACAAGATTCCCTCCCACGACTCCTCGGGTTACGACTGGAATAGGCAGGCTCCACGACAGCCGTAACTCCGGGACTACCTGCAGAATTCATATTCGCATTGTGAACTGGTGTATTTCCTTCCTCTCCAGAGTTGAGAGACCTAGTCCCTCCTTATAGGCAGGAAAGCCGGCTGGGTGACTTTGGGGGAATCACCAAGAGACAGGAGTTCCAGTTCTGCCTTAGGCACAAAAACTGAGTCTGGGAAAGTCTCTCTCTGTCTCCCCCACCCTCACTCCCTCTCAGTCCAAGCAACGTCACAGGGTTGTTGTGGAAAAGTAAGAGGAGAAAGGGAGAGTTATTCATTAAAAATGCAGGATTAAAAATAAGTAAATCACTAGAAATTGGTTCCCATTTGAACCCAAAACAAAACTTAGGATCCACAGCTGGGCTCACAGCTGTCCAGGTGCCAGTCAAGCCCTGGTTTTAACCGGTTCAGTCCTTCAGGGCTGCCTTTCCACTTCACACCCCCACCCCCGCTCCCAAAGCCTCCCCCTTATTGGCCTCACCATCAGCCTTTTGGGATCTCCAGATGTTCCTGCGTGTGAATTGGAGGCATTTTATGCTGGGGGCTTTTGAATGCTTCAATCATTTTAGTGCCCCTCCCCCGCGCTGCTGGGCGAAAGAAGCCGGCCAGGCACAAGTCCTGCAGCCGCTCAGGGCTGTTTGTGGGAATCTGGATCCAGAGACTCCCTCCCCCGAAGAGGCCTCAGCCAGGGTCCAAAAGAGGCGGGGTCTGCATGGGGCCATCGACAGGACCTGCCCCATGTGGCATCTGGAAGGACACCCCCCCCAACTGCCTGCCCAAGCCAGGCCTCCCTCCCCTCCCAAGCTGGGCACCAATGGGGTGCTGGAGAGTTTCCTTGGAGGGAGGGGAGTGGAGAAATGGCTGACACACCGGAACTTCTGCGAAAGGCACGGGAGGGAGGGAAGGGCGGCCTCAGCGGGGGCTGGGTTCCCCCAGAAAGGGCAGCCAAGAAGTCTGGCTAGAAGCAGAGAGGGGAAACTTTACGCTGTTCATCTCTGCAGAAACGGACAGTTCCCGCTTGGGCCTAAGGTGCAAATGAAGGGCCCAGCGTAGAAGATGCCTCAGATATTGGCTCTTTGTAACCCCCTTGACAGGAACCAGGGTTTAACACAGCGGGTTAATGGCATTGGTGCTTCTCGGCGCAAGGCTCCACCTGGCCTTACTTAGAGAAAAGCCCCCTTCATCATCCCGTCATCTCATTCTCCGGAGTTTCCCCTGCCTGTCATTTGTCACTTGCGCCAAGACAGCAGCAAGAAGCGTAAGACAGTCCCGTAGGCAATTCGATCCGTCCTCACCCTTGGCGTCTTGGTTCTACGTACTTGGGTCCCTTCCTGGCTGACTGGGTGGGTTGAACCTTGACTTTCCTTATGAATGGGGATTCCTCCCCTGCGGAGACACACGGTGGCTTTTGCTGCTCCCTGGAGGATTTAAAGGGCCACCCTCCCCATTTGACGGATTCCCCTTGTCTTCTCTCCTTCAGAGATCAGGACCTGCCCTAGTCAAAGCCCAGCTGCTCAGCCAGAGAGAGAAGCAAACGGATTGGCTGATGGTTGCCAATGGGGCAAAGGGGCCCCTCCCTCCACAGAGCCAGGCCCGTACCTTCCCCGCCTCCCTGGGTGTTACCTGTGTGGGCAGGTTTTGGGTAGGAACGGTGCCAGGAAGCAACCGACACAGATTGGATCCTCTCTTGCGGAGCCCACAAAGGTAGTGCTGTGCCCTGGGATACCTGGCCCTCCCCTCCTCCTCTTCCCCCCCACATTTCCAGTGGAGAGTGGACACATTCTCAGGGCATCTGGCAGCCCACAGGTGCCACAGGGCATCGCCGGGGAGAAATGGGGCCAGCTTCCCCTTCCCTAACGTCTCAGCCGCTCTGGTTGTCTCCAGGCAGGGCTTCCTGTTTTAACCAGACCAGAGGCAGAACCTCCCCCTCCCCACATGTTTTATCCTGGGAAACGATGAAAGGCCCACCCTGGCTGGGTTCAATGGCGGTTTGGCCAGAGGCAGCAGCAACAGGAAGCCTCCAGAGCTAAAGGCCAGGGCCATGGAGCGGAAGAGACCCCTGCCTCCTTCTCCTGCTGGGGGACCCTCCCCAAGGAGCTGCAGGATTTGCCTGGGTCCCCCCCAAACCAAGGGGCGCTTCTGGCAGCTCCTGCGACTGTCCCGGTGGGGGCCCTAGGAAGGCAGGCAAAGCCCATGAGGACGGTGCCCAGCCTGTCTTCCGTGCCCCAACAGTCCCGGGAGAGGTGAAACCTTACTCGGGCACGCCCAGATCACTCTGCAGGAGCAGGCTGGGTAAGTGGGCCCCGCCTTGGGAGGTTGGGCAGGGGCCTCTTGGCCAAATAGGCAGGACACAGAAAGACAGGAAACAGACAGGTGGAAAAGGCCTGCTGCCTTTTGAGTTACCTTTATTTATTTATTTTTCATTCTTTTGTCACGTGACGCACCTTTAGGCACCAAGCGTGCTTTGACTCAGTGACAGGTGGAACACGGCCCTGCCTGCCTTCCTTCATTAAGGGGAGGGACCCTTTCTGTTCTGGGCCAAGCAGGGCCTTTCCTAAGTGCCCCCACAGAATGGGGCGGGGGGGACAGGACAGGCAGCCTCTGCTGCAGCCAGCAGGGAGGGGTCAGCTGGCACAGGAAGGGCGGAGGCAGAGACTATTTCAGAGGATTCTCTGCTGGAACAGGCAGCCTCCTCCCCCAGGTGAAAGACCCAGAAGCCCCTGCGGCACTGGGAGGAGGGTGGTTATGGGGGAGTCCAAGGTCCCCCTGCTTCAGGCATGCCCAGGGCCCGACCCAGCCCCTGCAGGGGGCAGCCTGCCCACAGACGGCAGGAAGGCGGATGGTCGGCTAGCCATGATCTCTTTGCGGAGCCCAGCAGCCTCCTGGATGGGCCTGCTCCCGTCTGAGTGGACCTCTGCCTAGCGCCCACGTCCTGCAGCCCAGCAGCCAGGGCCCCAGGTTGCCAGGTGTGCTCAGCGACCCTAAACGCTTGTCAACAAGGGGGCTGCACCAGGCCAGGCCTGCTCTCCCAACAGGTCCCTGGGACGTGCCTGACCGCCAGCCGCAAAGTCCGCTTGCCTTCTGGATTTCGAGCGGGTGCCGGAGAAGCCTGAGAGGAGCCAGGCTCCAGAGCAGCTTGGCAGGATCTCGGATGCTGAAGGTTAAGAGCAAATGGCAGGAAAGAGCTTAAATGGGGCCGCTGGAGGAGCTGCCCTGAGCAGCTGGCTCAATGGGTGGCTGAATTTCCCCTGAGGTGGGCCAAGCTGGGTGGGAAACCCCCACTTGGGTTAGGCAAGGAGGCCCAGGCAAGGAAGTCTAGGTGGAACCGGGGAGGAGGAGGAGGAGGAGGAGGAGAGGGGAACAGACGTCCCTGGTTCTGGTTCCTGGGCCTGGCTTCCTTTCCCCCGGAATTTCGGCTGCTGCAGCCCCACACTGGCCCTGCCCTCTTTCTCCAGGGGCCTTGGAGGCTCCCAGGAGAGACATCCCCCCACTTCCCCAGTGCCTCTTACAAGACCCCCCCTCCCCTGGGGAGTTGGATTTCTGCTTCTTAGCCCAGACCCATTGCTGCCCATGGTCCCTTTCCCTGACCAGCCCCGCCTCCCGTCGTTGGCCAGGACCCCTGTCTGTCATACGAGGAGCACGAGAACCAGCCTCCATCCTAGTTCTAACATGGCAGGGGGGTGGGGTCCTCCAAAGGGGCGATGCTGGGAGACTCCAATGGCCCCTGGGAGGGGGGGGAATCAGGGTCTGGTGGGTAGGGGGGCAGCTCTCTTAGCTGGAGAATTGCGGGTGGTGCCTGCTTGGTGGCAGGTGGGCCCTCAGAGCAGGAGCTCCCTAGTGGGCAGGCAGCCCACCCACCGCTGGGCCTGATTTGGCACAACTGTGCGAGCATTCGCTTCCCCGTACAGTAAGATCAGTTTGCCCTGGGTGGTGCCTTCGGTGGAAGGAGGGAGGTGTGGTGGAGGCCACAGCCACGCTGTTGCCAAAGTGGCGCACCACTCCCTCAACCGGTCTTGCAGGTGCTGCTCTCTGGGAAGGGCGCAGAGGCTGCTGGGGAGGCTGGTTCATCCCATCCTTGTCCTGCAGTGAGACATGGGGCCTCCTCCATGGGGCGGGAGGCAAAATGGGCTCAGAGGTCCTTTCTTCTCTGGCAGGGCTGATGTCTCCTTCTCTCTTGCAGACCCTCCCACAGGCCCTGCTGCCGCCCATGATTGCCATGCCACCTCGCTGGAAGCGCTCCCCATGCCGCTTGACCCAGCTTTTGGTCGGGCTGCTGTGCAGCCTGGCAACCCTCTTGGTTCTCAGCTTCCTGGCCGGCAGCCGCCTCGAGGACCCACTCTCACGCTCGCGGCCCTCCCAGATGGGGAATGGTGTGGGGGAGCGACACATAGACACCTTGCTCCTGCCGCCCCCCAACGCCTTCCCACTGTCCCCATCGCCCTGTGCCCTGACCTCCCCCTGGCTACTGGTGCTAGTGGCCAGCGCACCTGGGCATGCGGCCCGGCGTGCGGCGGTGCGGCGCAGCTGGGGGAGTGTGAGGGTAGCAGGGGGGCACAGCACACACACGGTTTTTATACTGGGGCAGCCTGGGGATATGGCACAGCAGGCAGCACTGGAGCGTGAGGCAGCCGAGCACGGGGACCTGTTGCAAGCGCGTTTTGCTGACACCTATGCAAACTTAACCCTGAAGACACTGGCGATGCTGGGCTGGGCCACCACCCATTGCCCCACTGCCCGCTTCCTGCTGAAGGCTGACGATGACGTCTTCCTGAACCTGCCTGCCCTGGCAAGACACCTGGAGCGGCTAGCTGGCCCACCTGCTGCCTATCTGGGTCAGGTCTATTCACATGTGGCACCCATCCGCAACCCACACAGCCGGCACTATGTGCCCACCTCACTCTACCCGGAACCTACCTTCCTGCCCTACTGCAGTGGGACTGCCTACATTCTCTCTGCCCCAGCCGCTGCCGCTATCCTGGGTGCTGCCCACCAGCTGCCGCTGCTGTCTGTGGAGGATGTGTTTGTGGCGATGTGCGCCCACCATGCTGGCATTGCCCCGCGCCACTTAGACTATATGTCTGGGGCTACCCACTACCCACTTGATGCCTGCTGCTACAGGGAGGTGCTCTTCAGCGTACATGAAGTGGAACCTGCCGAAATGCTGTCCTTATGGGAGGGAGCTGAGCACCCCTGCACCGCCTGGCAGCGCTTCCTTGGCCTGACCCGCTGCAAGGTCCTGGCCTGGCTGGCTGAGGAGGACACCCCATGACTGCCTTCCTTCCCTCACACCACCTGATAACCCTGGGAGGAAAAGGCCTGGGGCCCTGCCTCACTCGGGAGTAGCTATCTGGCCTTGGACAAGTGAAGGGGTCGATTGATTAGAAGAAGGGCTTCCAGGAACTCTGCCTAGAAGCCCACAGTTGCCAGCCTGGATGCTGAGCACTTGGGATGCTGAGCACTTGGGACTGCGATGCTGAGCACTTGGGACTGCGGGGTGAGACTCTGCCAGCTGTGGGAATGCCAGCTGCCCTTTTGGGTTCTCTGGCCAATGTACGCCTTGAGCTGAAAAGCTGGAGGGAGGACAAAGGGCTTTGCTTCGACAACCTGCCCGCCTGGTCAGTGTTTTTTAGGGGGTCATTCATCCCTAATTTGGGTGCATTGGGAGGCCAAAGTGGGCTTTTTACAACATCAGCAATGGAAAGGTTGCCCCTCTGAACTGTGTGTGGGGTCGGGAGGGGCCTGAATATCATTTGGGGCTGTCTCTTATGGAATGAGGTGACTCCTCATAGTGGCCTGGCGGGTGGGCGTGGCTGGAGCAGCTCATGATGCCACAATGAGACAAGTCCCCAAGTTTGGAATGTGTCATGCCCCTGTCGGAATCTGACTTGGAGGAGGAAGCCAAACAGCTGACAGGGTGTGGGTGTGTGGCTCCGTTGGCTGTGGAAGAAAATGGTGAAGGGCGAAGTCCGGCTGGGCAGAGCAGGGGAGAGCTAGAACAAGGGAGAGGGAATTTGGAGGATGACCCAGGCCCACCCGCTCTTCATTCTAGGGCACACAGGGAGGAACGGAGAAAGAAGCAACATGGGTTGCATGGCTTACAGGGAGGAAAGGGCCCTGATTCCCTTCATTAGCTGCAGCTGGGATCACAGTGTATAAAAAAGGAAAGTTGTGTGCAGCAAGCTGTTGGGAGCAAACATGACTTTATCCTGTGCTGTCATGGCTCATCTGTGTTCCTGGCATCTTCCCAACCGTGTGAGTTTTGTCGTGTTTTCAACTCTGCAATTCCTTCTCCTGCCCTGTCATGTTAATTGCTGCAGAGTGGTTTGTTTGGATTTTAAGTTACAGTTTGTGTGTACCTTGTTTTGGACTGACTTTTCTGCAGTTAAAGGCTGTTCCTGGGAGAGTTTTTCTCCAGCCCGAAGGTGCCAGGAGGCAGAGCGGGACAAGGGTGCCCTGCTTAGCTTGGCTGACTCACGGAGGCGGTACACGGGGGACACCTGATTTGGAGCACCGGGCAGCCTTGGCGAGTCTGAAGGGAATGCCAGATCGTGCCCCCAAAGGCTTCTGTTGGCCGCGCCAAGAGCTTTGCAAAGGGACGGAGGCCTGAAGCAGAGCGAGATCAGGGGCGGGCTTCAAAAATTTTAGCAATGGGTTCTCTGCTTGGTTGCTGGGTGGGTGTGGCCATGGTGGGTGTGGCCTAGTCAGCCTCCTGTACCACAGCAGGTTGTGTGTGTGTGTGTGTGACTAATGCAGCTGGCAGGTTCTCTGACATTCAGAGCCCGAGGATTGCCTGTAGCCAGTGGAAGGTCGGTCCTCCTGAGTTAAAAGGGACCCACTGCTGTGCTCTGTTGTATTAAAAACAAACCTTTGGTAATCCCCCTCACCAGTCCTGCCTCAGCTTGGGCTCCTGAGCTGAAAACGATCCTTCGCACACCGTTTGGGTGAAAAAGGCGGAGTTTACTAGCAATTGAGTGATCCGTACAGCAACCCGAAGCCAGAATGGCAAGTTCCCGAACCAGAATCCCAGGCTAAGTGATTCCCTCCCAAAGGGGCCAACTTGGAGAGGGGTGGTTTTAGGAGGGTCTCCTGAGGAATTGCAGCCCTGCTCAGGTCCCAAGGCCCTGGCCAACGGAGCCAACTTTGATCCCTCGAGGTGAGACGCCCCCGCCCCCCCGCTCCTATTAGGTCCCAGAGTTCAGGGCAGATTGGCACCAAAATAGCTTCTGCAGGCGTCGTAGCAGAGACTTGAGGCGGCGTTTGACACATCTGGGTCTCAGCAGGATGTGGTGGTGGGAGGCCGGGAATTTTTATTTATGTATTTATTTTGTCAAGCGTGCATCTGATATGAATTTGATAATTTGTTTATTATTAATACATGAAATAAATACGAATAAAAGGGAACATTAAGACAGGGACGTTGTGCACGTTGGTGCACTTATGCACGCCCCTTACAGACCTCGTAGGAATGGGAATTCTTGGGATCCAGAGAGGAAGAGGAAGAGGAGGAGGAGGCAACAGCTGTTCCAATGAGGCCTGGAAGTGAAAGCTGCTCATTGGCTCCTTCTGGGTTTCTCAGCCCCTCCCCGCTCTTGCAGGGAACATTCTCTGAAGCCTCCTCCCCATAAAGCCCCCTCCGCCCCCCCTTTCCTGTCCTGGAGGAAGTGGGGCAGAGAAGCAAGGGGGCTTCTTGCAAATGGGGGAGGGGTGTGCGTGAGGGGAGGCTGCCCAGTGGCCGGAGAAGAGGGCAGAGGAAGCCCCCTCTGCTCTTTGGTTCCCTCTAAGTTGGGTTCTGAAAGGGGTGCTGGGCAATTCCAATTGTGGCTTTCATTTTTTTAGGATCTTGGGTGAGGGGCTTGCTTTCTAATTCTTCCGCTCTGCCTTTGTTAGCTTTGCTGCAAGGAGTTTCAAAATATCCTGTCTTGGGTGGATTGCCAAATCTGCATTTCTAAAAGCCAGCGCTATTAAAGACTGAGTCTGCTTTCTGCCTTTAAGAGCATGTTTCTCCTTTAGGGAAATATAATATTCTGCCTTTTTAATATTTCCCAAAACATTTCATTCTTCTGAGAGGTTGGTGCGAGGGGCGGGGCCAGCCAGTGGTGGGTTCAGCCCACAGGAAACCACAGCAGGGGAAAGAAAGAGCCGCGGATTGCAGACACCTGTTGCTTCTGCCCGTCTGCACCACCACTACCACCCTGCCACAACACCACCGTTACTTTGTTCCTGCCAGGGAGGGTTGTGCTACTCCTTGCACGTTGCACCACCTGCAAAGTTGCAAGTTGCACGTACCTCCCTCTACGGCGGAGATTTCCAGCCCCACCACGAGCTGCCTGGCTGGTCCCATATTTTAGAGCTCTAGGCACAGGACTGGCCCATTGGCCAACCGGATGCGCTGCGGACCCCCAAAATTTTCTCGTGGACCACCAGTGGTCGTCAGACCACCAATTGGGGACCACTGATCTAGTCCAACTCGTCTCTCTCTCTCTCTGTCTCTCTCACAGTCCACACACACACACACTCAGAGAGAGAGAGGAGGAGGGAGGGAGCGGAGAGAAAGACGCACACCATCAAAGCTTAAAAACAGATCTGGGAAAAGTGAAAGGGTTCCCAGGAAGGAAAAGTTACTTTCCCTTCTGAGAGCTGAAGCCACAGGGGGTCCCTTCTCTTCCCTGGAGACCCAACAAAGGTCCACGGGAACCCAAGAAACTCTGAGCAAATCTCCTTTCTGGCTGCCCCCCAGCAAAGGGAGCAAAGCCAAAGGAGCCTCCCCCCCACCCCCCACAGAGTCCTAAATGGCTTGGGGTAGATTTTCACAGGAAAGAAGCAAACACTTTATGGAATTCTTAACAACTGTGCAATTAAGGATCGTGAGCAAAGTGGGGAGGGGAAAAGGACAGCCACTCCCCTAGAAGACAGAGACAAACCTTTAAAACATCCTCATCATCTGAGGCTTCTCAGACGTCCAACTTCCCAGGAGGTCAGGGAAACGGGCTCCCCGTGAAGCACAAGGTCATACAGATAATCCCTTGGAAAGCAAGAATGGATGCTGCACTGGAAGGCTAGAGACACGTGTCACGGGAGTCGTTGGGAAACCAAGGGAGCTGTGGCTGGAGGAGACTTCTAGATTTGGGGCCTCATCGGCTAGTAGCCTGGGCTTTCCACATCTCAGCAGTCGTTGCCTCCCACAGACATTGCTTCGCTCAGGGCCCACTGGCGTCCTCTTTGGGACCCTCTCAGTTGCGCTGTATAATCTGCGTAGCCCCTCCCCCCTTCTCGTTTCCTCTTCAAAGGCATTCTCTCGGCAGGGAGAAATCACGAGAGATTCTGCCCGGAGACTGATGACTCCACAGAAGGGAGTCTTCCCATTGGCGCAACTTATTCCTTCGAAGCCAAGCCGACGTATCCCTGTCAAGCCCAATTCCACTTCTCCATTCTCTTGGGGGGAGGGGCTTGGGGGAAGCTTCCACGGGCTCCGCCTTTTTCTGCTTCGTGTGGAGACGTTAGCCCTGGAAGCGAAGGGAGGGAAGGAAGGACCTACAGTAAGTGTGGGGGAGTGGGAGGGATCGTTGGTGCTGCTGGAGGTGTGTGATTGGGACCCCTCCTTGAGACGGCAGCGAGGCGGGAGCTTACGTGACTCCACCCCTTTCCTCTTGGCCGCGCTCCTCCCAGTGCGATTCCCTCAGACGGAAAAGCGGGAAAAGGGGTTCCGAGAGGAGTGGGAGGAGCCTATTCTGGCGGGAAGAGCGGAGAGAGAGAGATGCCGCTCTGAGGGAAGCGCCACCATCTGAGGGTGGGAACCTTAAGTGTCGTCAGGGTCGGACTGGACTCCTCCTGTCTCTGGGTCAGTCACTGAATTGCGCCTCCTTCTGATCCCTTCTTCTCCCTCACGGGCTCTCTTCGCCCCCCCAGTCTCCCCCTCAGGAGCCCCTCTCCTGCTTACTGGTGCGAATCCCCCAGGGGACCCTTTCAAGTCACCCCATCACTGAGGCGAATGACTTGGAAGAACCCCATACTAGATCCCCTTCAAGCCCTCGGTCTCCATTCGCCCCCAAAGACCCTTCAAAATAATGGTGGTGTTTGTTTCAGGGCTTCATTTTCAAAGGGAAAGAGTGGGATCGCTGTCTGGACAATAAGGAATATATTGGACTTACTCTATTAGTACATTATTTTTAATGATATTAAATGGGAAGATAAATATAGACGCTGCTTGGACCTCCCCACTCTGACTCAAAGTACAACTCTTTAAAGGCCCCAAATACCTTCCAATTTGTAGAAAGAGGCAAAAGGCTGAAATTTTCTGGTTCCCCTTTGAGTCTTCTGTTGCAAAGGAAGAAGGTAATGTTGGCTCAAGCACTTTCAATGTTGCATGGATTATATCCACAGGTGTAAAATTACATAATTAGGAAAATTTTAACAAAAATGCCAGGATTTTATAATC